CTCGTGGCAGAAAAGGAAGCTGAACGTCAACACTGACCAAGTCTGACAAACTTATTGCTCCACAGCACTGAGGGGACAGTTAATATCTGTGCTGTTTTTACATGGAGAATTATTTTATTCTCACAATAACAAAGAGGAAACATCTCCACTGACCATGAACTGACTTAACATTCAGAATCTGAGTTTTTTTGGTAAATGTGAACTTAAGTATGTGCAGAGTTGCTGTGGTTGTTCTTGTTAATGAAATTCTTTGAATAAAAATCTTTTTACAGCATTAGTTTTAAACAGTGGGCTGATACTCAATGCAGAAGCAAATAGAGGAAGTTCATATTGCTAAGGTTAAAAATAAGCGGTGCTGGTTGCTCGTACGTCGCACCATGTAAGGGTGTGAAGTCTATGATGGACGTGCAGTCCAAAAGAAAATCCCCATTTTGTTTTCATGACTGACTCTGAAGTTGTGACACAGAGGAAGATTTTTTTGCAATCATTTCAATACTTAGAATTTAGCAAAGGGGAAATCTCTATGAGGACAAAAAATGGTCAGGTTTCCTGCTCAGTGGGTCAGGGTTACTGTGGTGCCACTCCTGAGCTGGGTCCAGGGCTCGAGGACGAGCCACCATGAGCCAAAAGTCCTCTTGGACAAATTCACCTCAGAGTAGGTGAGTTTGTGTTGTGATCTAAAAGTAGTTATAAAAATTACTAAAGTAAATACTGAAATACTTACTAAAGACTACACTTATTTAACAGTGTTTTATTTTTGTTTCGAAGCGTAACTTGATGACAGTGCAATGTGGTTGGTTAAATAAGAATGTTTTAAGTGGGTCCCATGCACTGCTGGAGCCGAATCGTGACACACCATGAGCAGACGGCCTAGTTGTTAGAGAACAGCTAATTCAGCTCCCCTCAGAAGATAATGCTAAAGTTGCAGTGACTGTGGAAAATATGACTGACCATGATATCACCCTCTGTGGCCGCACTACACTGGGATGGCTGCACAATGCTGATGCCATTACATGCCGCAGGTAAAATGTATGGAGGGTGAGCTTTCTAAGACATCAGACAGTAGTGCTTCCACACCCACAGTGCAGTCCAGTCAGACAACACAAACTGAGCCCTGGGACCCACCAGTGGATTTGCGCCATCTGACAAGTGACAAACAGCAGCAGGTAAAACAGATGCTGAGGGAGGAATGCAATGTTTTTGCGAAAGATGACTGAGACATGGGATGCATTACAGATCTGTACCTGGAGATACTAGCTAAAAGCTAAATGACAATGGGCCTGTGCAAAAGACATATATGCAATCCCCAGACACCTTTATCGGGAAGTTAAAGCACACACACAGGACTTACTCAATCAGGGCTGGATCCAAAAATCTTGTTCTTCATATTCTTCACCTGTGGTATGTGAGGAAGAACGATGGTGGCCTTCGCATGTGCGTAGACTGTAGGCTCTTGAATGCAATGACACTGCCCGACAGACATCCCATCCCGAGAATACAAGAGATCCTGGAAAACCTCGGGGGCAACTCCTTGTTCACAGTATTGGACCAGGGGAAGGCTTATCACAGCTACAGATTAAAAATGCCCAAAGCAAAGCGGTCAAAGTCTGGCTGTACTTCACAGCAAAAGATGCAAACTGAGCAGCAACAAGTGCTTTAAGCTGATACTGTGATACTGTCAAAGGAGG